GAGTAAAAAGACAACCTACAGACTGGGAAAAAATTTTTGGCTACGGCAAATTTGATCAGCGTCCAAACTCTAAAATCTACAAGATATTGCAAAACCTCAACAACCAAAAGACAAATAACCCAATTAAAAAATGGGCAAAGGACATGAACAGGCACCGCACCAAAGAAGACATTCAGGCGGCTAACAGATACATGAGGAAATGCTCACGATCATTAGCCATTACAGAAATGCAAATCAAAACTACAATGAGATACCATCTCACCCCAACAAGGCTAGCATTAATCCAAAAAATACAAAATAATAAATCTTGGAGAGGTTGTGGAGAGACTAGAACACTTACACACAGTTGGTGGGAATGCAAACTGGAAGAAACACTTTGGAAGTCGATTCGGTGCTTCCTTAAAAAGCTAGAAATGGAAGTACCATAGGATCCAGCAATCCCATTCCTTGGAATATATCCCAAAGAAATAAGAGCTGTCACACGAATAGATATATGCACACCCACGTTCATTGCAGCACTGTTTACAATAGCAAAAAGATGGAAACAACCTAGTTGCCCATCAACAGATCAATGGATAAACAAATTATGGTATATTCTCACAATGCAACACTACACAATGATGAAGAACAACAATGAATCCGTGAAATGCATCATAACATCGATGAATCTGGAAGGCATTATGCTGAGTGAAATTAGTCAGTCCCAAAAGGACAAATATTGTATAAGACCACTACTGTAAGAACTCAAGAAAAGGTTTAAACACAGAAGAAAACATTCTTTGATGGTTACGAGGATGGGGAGGGAGGGTGAGGGTTACTTACTAACTAGATAGTAGGTAAGAATTATCTTAGGTGAACCGAAGGACAACACACACTACAGGGGAATTCAGCACAACTGGACTAAACCACAGCTAAGAAGTTTCCTGAATACAACCAAACACTTCAAGGGACAGAGTAGCAGGGGCGGGGTCTGGGGACCATGGTTTCAGGGGACATCTAGGTCAATTGGCATAACAAAGTTTATTAAGAAACTGTTCTGCATCCCACTCTGGTGAGTGGCATCTGGGGTCTTAAAAGCTAGCGAGCAGCCATCTAAGATGCATCAATTGGTCCCAACCCACCTGGAGCAAAGGAGAATGAAGAACCCCAAAGACACAAGGAAAGTATTAGCCCAAGAGACAGAAAGGGCCACATAAACCAGAGACTTCATCAGCCTGAGACCAGAAGAACTAGATAGTGCCTGGCTACCACCAATGACAGCCCTGACAGAGAACACAACACAGAGTCTCTGATGAAGCAGCAGAAAGGTAGGGTGGAGAACTCAAATTCTAGTAAGAAGACCAGACTTAATGGTCTGACTGAGACTGGAGGAACCCTGGAAAGCACGGCCCCCAGACTCTCTGTCAGCCCAGAACTAAAACAATTTCCGAGGCCAACTCTTCAAAGATTGGAGTGGACTGTGGGACATAAATTGATAATCATGAACAGTGTTTCTTAGCTCAAGTAGATACATGAGATTAAACAGGCAGCTTCTGTCCAGAGGTGAGATGAGAAGGCAGAGAGGGTTAGAAGCTGGTTGAATGGACATGGGATATCAAGGCTGGAAAGGAAGAGTGTGCTGTCACAGTATAGGGAGAGCAATTAGGGTCACATAATAATGTATATATAAATTTTTGTATAAGAGACTAACTTGAAATGTAAACTTTTATTTAAACTACAACAATAAACAAAAAAATAAAAACAAAAAACAGAGAAAAAATAAATAAATAAATTATGGTGTCAGTGAAGAATATCGAATACACCATGTACTGCCAAAAGAATAAACAAATTTGTCTTGGAAGAAATACAGCCAGAATGCTCCTTAGAAGGGAGGATGTCGAGACTTTGTCTCACGTACTTTGGACATGTTATCAGGAGGGACCAGTCCCTGGAGAAGGACATCATGCTTAGTAGAGAGTCAGCAAAAAAGAGGAAGTCCCTCAACAGGATGGACTAACACAGTGGCTGCAACAATGGGGTCAAACATAGCAACGATAGTGAGGATGGCACAGGACTGGGCAGTGTTCCGTTCTGTAGAACATGGGGTTGCTATGAGTTGGAACTGACTCGACAGCATCTAACAACATCTCTCCAAACTTGACCTATCCTCCAGTCACACTGGTCTTCTTTCAGGTCCTCGAATTCATCACGGTCTTTCCAACCTCAAAGTACAAGCTGATGTCTTTCTCTGAGCGCCATTCTTCACATGACTAACCCTCCCTTCCCTCTGCCTTCAGCTTAAATATCAATTCCTTGGAAAGGCATTCTTTTACCATTTTCCCTAAAAAGAGGTCCCCCTGTTACTTTATTTGGGTTTACTTGCTTTTTGTCTGTCTTCTCCCCCTAAAACATAAGCACCATATGTCTTGTTCACTATTGCATCCTTAGTGCCAAGTACAACGTGTGGCTCACAGTACATGCTCAATAAATATTTGTTGAATGAATTTATGGTACCAAGTTTCGTGTACATTTTAATAGCATTATAAAGTTTATAATAAAATATACTTTTCTGGATAACTTCTGAAAAATAATTTCCTCCCCTACACAAACTTGGTTCTTTTAAAATGTCACCTTACCTAAACTAAATCTCTCAAAAGCCTCCTGTCTGTCCTGAGTGGTTACTGGCTGACCTTCCAAACTTTCCAGTGAACGGAGGTGGAAAATGGTAAACTGCCGGTAATGAGGAAGAGCCACAATTGGATTTTCAACTAGGATCACAGAAGTTAAATCTTGAAGTGGTTTCAACTTGCTTACATTCTGGAGCTGAAGAGACATATAACATTAGTATTGATATAATTTAAAAACCACAAACATACCTAAAGGAAATAATAAATCAAAAGAAATTGCTCTTAACATGGCAGAGAACCTACTCATGAAACCCATTATCCAAAAGTAGTGGTGGTGGGGAGAGGGATAGAAATGGAGAACACATATTTTGAGTATCTATAGTATGTCAGTGGATTATTAGGCAATTTTCATACACGACTTCATCCGTAATTCCTCACAACACTTGTGATGTAAGTACCATCTTAATTTTACAGATGAAGAAACTGAGGTTCAAAGAAATTAGGTAACTTTCCAAGGCCCAGAGCTTGTAAATGAATGAAATAAGATGTGAATTCAGGTCTGTATAATTCTAAACCTAGGGTCTTCTCATTACAGTGACTGAACAAATGGAAAATATAGACAGCTATAAAAAAGATTTTGGTAAATCTTCAGGTAAACAAGGGTATACAGAGATGCCCACATTTTTGAAGCTGATATTAAGGAGCGTAACAATAGCCTCTCTCACATCTTAGCCTAGTCACATGATACAAAGCGAAACAGAACCTGAACTGACCCCAAACAGAAGGTAGCAAGTTTTAAATTCTAACTTATTCTTAAAAATGCTCTAAATCAGTGATTCTTAATGAGATTTGGAAGGATGTGTGTTTTGAAAAAGGCATATCCAATAATGCAGCATAATTGTTAAGTTTAGAAAAGTAGGGGAAAAAATAAACTACAGAGAGGAAAGCACGACAAAATCTTTTTTCCCATAAGGGATAGGCAAAGTCACATCATCGCAAATTGGATGTGGTGTAGCAGAGGGAGCACACAGTTCCCCTAGGTGGGTTTTTCAAAAATCTCTGGCGAAAAGTGAAATTTTTATGTTTACCCAAAGAAGGGTTTAAAAAGGTTGAGAAACACTACTCTAAATAGCGAGTAAAATAAATCTTCTTTCCTAAGTGAATGTGCATCACTTGTACTGATGCCAATGTCAGATATAAACTGGGATGAGAAAGTCAGAAAAAACGAGAAAACAATAAAAAAAATCTCTTGAATGATTTCTCTATTACCATTGCCTGACAGTGAGTACTATCCAAGGATCATCTACTTTGAGTAGTATTTGTGGCAAAATTTAGACTCACGGCTAGCTCTTCCCCTCACCCCATAAGCTCCAAGAGTTCCAAGGTGATGCTGTATAACATGGCGTGGGACTTGGGCTCTGAGGCTCTTGGGCTATCACTGCTCAGACACTGTAAATTGTACGTTAAACAAGTGCCATTTATTATTACTGGCCTCCACTGGTGAAGGTTTAATTAATAGGACCTTAGAGTTATTTCACGTTTTAAAGTTTTAAACCATTTTCACATCATTTCATCTGAGCCCCATAAGCACCCTATAAACCAGTATAGGGATTATTTTCTCCAATATAAACATGAGGTACTGAATTTTAGAAAGATTAAGGGATCCTCCATGTTCACAGAAAGCAAGTGTAGACATCTTTCATTTTCTACTCTATGATCGTTCATTTTCTACTTCTACTTTCATTTTCTACTTCTTTCATTTGGTGTTTGGTCAAAAGACCAAAGACCTTAAAAGAAAAAAATCTCATTTAAAAAAAAAAAAACAAAAAACCAACAAGTCAGATTTTAATCTTTTTTTCCCAACAAGTCCCAAAATTTGAAAAGTAATTCTTCCTACTGTGAGTAACTTACCGATGATATCTTGTTGCCTTTCAGATTGAGGACCCGTAAAGATTTTAACTTCTTCCCTAACCATACTGGAATATGTTCAATTTCATTTCCTGCAAGGTTGAGCTTTTGCAGATTACACATATTTTCTATGCCTTCAATTTTGCTGGAAACCAAAGGATAAAATCAAACTTAATGAGTACAACGACAGAGTCCCTCCATCGTATTTTTTCGAATATACAGCCTTGGTCTCATTTGGGGTTACTTTTCATAATTTTAATTTATCAATCCTTTTCATAAATGAGAACCAAAAAACGTGGCTAAAAATAAATTTACTAGGAGAGCTAAACTGTTAACTCTTCATTACTGTGCCCAGTAATCCAACCCTCCTATCTTACTGTCAGACTTCAGGACCCCACAACACTGAGAAACATACTAAGCCTTGAAATAAGTGACAGAAGTACCAACAACCACAAAACTTGCCCTAAATCCATGCCCTGGACTCGTTTAACATACAGTCTGAATGAACATTATAGACTGGAAGCAAACTGGAAAAGATGAGTCTGTCAGTGGCAATGTCACTGACCACTGTGAAAAGGAATAGCTCACAGCCAGGGAAGAGTCGAAAAACTCAAAACCACACACTACTACACGCTAAAGTCCTACACAAGAGAAAAATGCTGTTAATCATTACCTAACATCACCACAAAATGATTATTTATGCCAGCAGAATATGGCTAACATTTTTTACTGCATTTATCAACGTAAATATTTTAATCATAGTATTTAAATTAATAAACCATTTATCACACATATTGATCAATTTTAATTGATGAATTATTTTCCCAACTGAATTCCATTTTAATTCCTTGATTAATTTTCTATACTGAGCAAATATTTCCAAGTTTTTCTGTTTTCATTTTTATTTTGCTGAATGATCTTCATCAGGATCACTTCTTTTTTTTTTGTAAACTTTATACTAAGGATTTGATTCATTAATCAAGTTTTTTTTTTTTTTTTCCATTTCAGTTCAGTTTTGTCTTATAGCTTCTGCTACTATTAGTTTTTTGGTTGTTGTTGTTTGCTTTGTTGGCCACTATTTATAGCAGTCTAATTTTGGGGGCAAAGTGTTTAAAGATTTTCAAGATTTAATTCTTGCAGCAGTTTTTGTCTATAAGCTGTCTATGTGCAGTTTTGACCACTGTTAGTATTATTATGTTTATTTCTAACAGTTAACATTTATTATGAATTAGAAACAAGACTAAGCGTGTATTTCTTGTAGCAAAGAGCATAGAACTGTAGGAAAAAACATAGGATCAAAATGGGGTTGAAATATTTTTCAGACTAAAATGGCAGGGTTAAAACATTCTGCTTCATGTCAACATCCTAAAGTAATAAGGCAGTGAAACAGTTATCTAGGAAAAATTTGTCAAAAGTGGAATTAAGAAAATAAAATTTAGTACTCAAAAATGTAACTCCTTTGATAATGTTAGATAAGGTATTATTCTATACTTCAGTAGTGCCAAAACATAAAGGTAATTATCATATGTGGAAAGCTAGACTATCAATGAATAAAGATCAAAGTGCCTACTCTTTCAAAGGATTCTTTCAGTAACTTAAATAGTGTTTATCTACCTCTCTAACAAAGATCATGCAATGCTACCTAAAGTATTTGCTTACCTGATTTTGTTGTATGATAAATTGAGTTCACGTAATTTTAATAGCTTATCCACCTTCTCAATCTTCCCAATGAGATTATAGCTGAGATTCAGTACTTCAAGTTGAACACATTTTTCCAAATTTTCGATATACTAATTAGAAACAAATGAATAAATATACAACAGATGCCTTGACATAACACATAACATTTAAGTATGTGCACCAGGGACTGTTTTGATCAGTCATTAGAGAATAATGAGCCCTTACTGCCCCTTGACAATCCCTTGGTGTAGGTTTACTGAGCAGCAGTTGCAATTCTCCTCAAGGAGCCAAACTCTCCTTGCCCTTCAGTGGACAACACCACTTCCTATATACTAAGAACCTCAAGACTGTCCGAGAAGAACACCCCCACTATCCTTTCCTCCACCTCAACTTTTCGATGCCTCTCCCTCCCTCCTCTCCTCCTTGCCTCCAAGAGATAGCTCCCTTCTTTTTTAAGTTAAACTAGTTACTTTTGCTCTTGCATGACCCTATCTACCTCCTGTCCCCAAGCCCTGTATCTTCAATCTTTTTCTGTTTCCTGGATCTTTCCCCCTCAAGTTTAAAAACATTATTCAACATATATTCATTATGCACTTATTGCATACCAAGAGTGGTACCAAATAATGGGAATATAGCAATGAACCAGATAATTTCCCCGCCACATAGGGCCTGGGTTCAACATGCTCAAGTCTCCTATATAAAAGAAATCACCCTGCATTGAACCTCTTTTTCTATCAAGCCATCATTTTATTTCCCTTATCTGTCACCAATATTCTCACAAGAGTTGTCTACCTTTGCTCATTCTGCCTTCTATGCATTCTTATTCTATTGGTAAGGCAATACATCTTCTGTCCCCATTAGTGCATTCAAATGATTCTCTCCTAGGTCACCATTCATTCATCTATTCCACAAATATTTATCAAACATGGATTATATACCCGTACCAGGAGACGTTCTAGGTACTGGAAATTCAGTGGTGAATAAGGGAATATGGCTCTTGTTCTCATTCAGAGACAGACAATAAACAAATAAGCAAACAAGATTTTCAGACAGTGATGAGTACTAACAAGATAACAAAGACAACATGATGTGACAGAGTGCAAGCACCAAGAGGGCAGATTTTGTCTGTTGTGTTCACAGCTATACCACTACTGCCTGGCACACAGTTGGTGTTAAAAAAATATCTGTTGACTGAAAGAATGAGAGGCGGAGATTGGGGGGAGGATGCCTAATTACGAGTCGCTGGTAAGAGAAAGCCCCTCAGAGGAAGAAACATTGGACCTTTTAATTGCCAAATCCAAATGACCTCATCCTGGTTGACTGTTCTGATATTTTATATCCTCCTTCCCTGCTCAAAGTTCCTCTTCGTTTGGCCTCCAATGACCATACTCTTGAATCTTCTCCTTTCCCATTAGCTCTTTCAGGCTTCTTCATTGGGTCTGTCTTTTCCATCTACTCTCTCTCACTCTCTGATTCTCCCTCACGATTTCTCCTCTTAATCCTAGGCACTCGTACCACTCAGCCTTAAGTTCCCAGAGATCGGAAACTAAGTTTATTTACCTTGGTATCTACCACCACACCCCAACAGAATGCCTGGCACGTAATAACCACGCAATAAATATTTACTTATTTGATATTTCACTTTCACGATCTTTAAACTCGAGCATGTTATCTTTTTCCTTTTTAATTACACAAGCTATATATGAATACATTCAAAAAAAATTTCAAATAAAACATAAAAGGCTCTCTTCATCCCCTTCCTCCCCTAAAAAATTCCCACTGCTCAGAGGAAACCATTGTTAAGAGGCTAGTATATATACATCCCATCCAGATCTTTCTATGCATTTATGTCTATAACTATGCATACAGAAAGAGATTTTAAAAATATTCCTGGCATCATGCTATACAAAAGTTCTAGAATTTGTTTTTTACACTAACTATATTGAGAACATTTTCTACATTAACGCAGAGTTCTAATTCATTTTTTAAAAGAACTCCATAGTATTTTCATGTCATATTGCACCATAATCTATTTAGCCAATCTCCCATTGATAGACATTTATTTTATTTTTTCTATTTTAAATAATGCTATAATAAATATCCTGAAATATTTTTGTATACATGTGCAAATAATATCAGTAGAATAAGAATTGCTGTGCCAGTGAGTATAAACTCAATTGCTGGATCAAAAAACAAGAACACTTAAAATTTTGATAAATACTACCAAACTGTCTTGCTAAAATGCTGTGCCAGTCCATACTTTCACTGAAATATATGAGAATATTCATTGTTAACATCCTTCTGAACACTGAAATAATCTTTTAAAATTTTTATCCATTAGATGTACAGAGTACCTGGGTGGTGCAAAAGGCTAGCACACACAACTGCTAACCAAATGGCTGGAGGTTCAGGTCCACCCGAGGTGCCTCGGAATAAAGGCCTGGCTATCTACTTCCAAAAAACCAATCACTGAAATTCTATGTAGCACACTTCTAGTCTGACACACATGAATCAACTTGATGGCAACTGGTACAGGTACAGATATTATATATGATGAAAAATGATATCAAACTCCTATATTCTTTTCTATACTTTTATAATATTTTTGCTTGTTGATTTTTTTGTTTTGTCTGTCTTCCATTCAGCTCTTCAAAATTCTGCAATTTTTGTGAATAACATATAACAGGAATCTAAACTCATATTTTTCCAATTAAAGAAACTAAATTTCCCATTATGATATGCTCATTTTGTATAGTTTATGAATAAAGTAATGAAGACTCTAGAGCACAGATTAGCAAACGTTTTCTGCAAAAGGCCCAGATAGTAAATATTTTTGGTTTTGTGAGCCATAAAGTCTGTCTTAATTATGCAACTCTGCCATCGTAGCACAAAAACAGCCATACAAAATAAGTAAACAAATGAGTGTGGCTGTGTTCCAATGTAACTTTATTTATAAAAATGTGCAGCAGACCCAGTTTGGCCCACAGGCTGTAGTCTGCCAACCCCTTCTCTAGTCAGAGTAAATAATGTATAGAATATTAATAAATTAATGGTAAAAATCCAAGTTACTTAACAGAGTTCAGGTAATAGGAGACATACTCCTGATGCAGAACTTTCACTGGAAACAATAAAAGGTTTGCAACAAACTAGGTAACGTTAGGATGAGATGTTATTTTAAATCTAATATAACCTCCTTTTTTTTGCAATTTTAAAGCAAATTAAAAATAATGTCTGCACTTGAAAATTGTTAATAACCTACCCTAAATTTCTTGCCACCATCTTTACAAAGTGAAAGGTTCAGAGATTTTACCAAGGCCAAGTTGTCCTGTTTAGTAAGCTTTTTAATAAGGGCCTCAGTAATATATCGGACTCCTGGATGTGAATCAGCTTCTGAAATTACAGAAACAGATCATTATCAGTAGAGGAAGACATAAAAACTCTGAAAAACAAATTATTTTGATGTTATGTAACAAAAAACACGTTTTTAAGTCATGCAAATGTAAAAACATTCAGCTAGTTCTAAGCACGTTTTAATAATATTCTATTTTATATAGCATTTCATAAAACTAATGATGATGACAATAGTTATAATCTATAAATACCAGCTGTGTGCCAAGCTTTCAACTAAATGCCTTACATTTAAAAAAAATTAACTTATATAACAAATCTTTGAAATAAAAACTATTATTAACCCCATTTATAAAAAGATGTAAAATCATTTGCTCAAAATCTCGCAGATAGTAAGGTGCAAATCCAGGACTTAAACTCAGGCAAATGAATCCAATATGCAGCACTGAAGTTTTTAGCAATATTTTCATGTTAGTTTTTAAAATAAACCTGCACTACCTAGTTTTTTTTTATTCCAATCTAAAGTTTAGAAACATTGTAATTCTTAAAAATTCTCATTTCCTATTTTCTTATAGTGAGAAAACCCCAATTTGCTATCTTTTGAATAGCATCATATTTTATAAAGCGCTCTCTTGATGGGTAGCATACCCTGTCTTATGACCTTTCTGGGTATTTCTGTCAAAGATGGTTAAAGTCATGCTACAGTTTACAAAGGCAACCATAAAAACAGCATTGCTTCTTGCTTTAATGAGTCAGAAAAGAATTAATCCGTGATTCAGACCCTGGCTGTGGGTCAAAGATTCCCTATGATTACTGCTAATAAGTTAATGTTATACTTTTTTTGATTCGAAATAAAATTTTTTTTTCTAAAATTTGGTTTGTTCTAGGAAAGAAATTGATATTCTGAGATTGGAAATAACAATGCACTAGCTGGCAGCAAATATATAATACAAATGCTGAAAATGTTAATTAACAAAATCTGATTAGATATGCAAGTCAATCAAGTTTGATGGCTGTGATTTCATGACTTGGCAAAGAATAATCTATTTCTGAAAACAGATTTCCAGAATGAAAAAAATGCTTTTAATTAAAAAATGGTACCACATAATAAGCATGACCCATACATGGAAATTAGTCTGTTTACAGATAAGCAGTTTGCTAATAAGCAGACTGGCATAGCCCAAGTGTAGATACAATTTTTATACTGAATTAAGGCGCTCCACTGTGAAGTGAACAGATGTGCCCTACTCCTAACCAAGGATGACAGCAAAAATCAGGGTATGAGGTTTAAGGCACTTCCTACCACAGGAAACAAAGCTTCCTCTTTCTGGAAGCTCCCTAATCCTAATCTTCCTTCATGCATATTCATCCTCACCCAGAAACCTCTTTCCTCCCACTGTCCTCAAATAATAAGTCAAGTTAGTACCAGGACAGATATTACATTTGGACCAAAAATGTAAACTCAATATTTTCCATCTCTACTTAAGAGTATGTGATCAGACAGATCCTTAGACTGAAAGTAATACCTTTATGGTCGTGGTAGTCTAAAGGCATACTGCTTTCCTCTGTAATCTCAACTTGCTCACACCATTGTCCTCCAGAATGAAAAGGCAGAGTCTCTGGTCCACCTAAAGGTGAAAGTGACCTAGATCTCATATTGGACATAAGAGACGATGGACTAGGAGAGTGAGATGATGGTGGTTTCCTTGCGTTGGAGAATATTCTTTGTTGAGGACCTTTCTTCATTGCAAGAATAAAGCCAGATGCCCATCAAAACCTGTAGTAGTTTTCAGTAGATCAAAAAGGTTAATACTTAAGAGCTATCAAAACTATTAAATTAATTTATTCCTAAAACACCATGACTAAACTTTCAACAGTACAAAGTTATAAACTCAGAGGCTATCCAAGTGATGGAGCAGCCACTGTTTCAAACACTGTTGATAACCTGGCCAGAGGGAAAAGTGACCTCCAGAGGGTCTTGTATTGACAATTAAATGCTCCAGCCAAAAGTGATACCTGTCATTTCTGTTCTAAATTCATTGACAAGAACTAGTCACAAGGCCCTGTTTACCCACAAGGAGTCCTAGAATGGAAGAAGTTGGAAATATTTGGCAACCAGAAATATATAACACTGATAAGTACCCTCTTGTTCCTGAAACAGTTTATTCCTTTGGCTTCTGGGACTCCACATTCTCCTAGGATTCCTCCTGTCTTCCTGGACATTCCTTCTAAGCCTCCTTTGTTGGCTCATGTACCTGTATCCAACCTTTAAAAGTTAGAGGTCCTCAAAGCTCTCTCCTATTGTCTCTCTAATCTCACCATAGGCGATGTGATACATACCCATGGCTCCCAATGCCACCTGTATACTGACATTTAAATCTTCAATCCAACCTTTCTCTGAGCTCCAAACACCTATTTCCAACTGCTCACCTGATACCGTATCGGCGTATTAAACTCAAAATGCCCAAATTTGAATTCATCATTTTCTCTCATAACCCCCTCACTCTCCTCCAGTCTTGTTCCTCCTACAGTGTTCCCTACTTAGTGACCAGCATTCATAAGAATAAGGCAGAAACCTGGAAGTCATTCTTGACTCCTCTCTCTCCTTTTTTTCCCTACCCAATCACCAAGTCCTATCAGTTCCACTTCTTCCATATCTCTAAAATCAATCTACTTCTTTCCATTTTCACTCTAGTCCTTAATCCAAGTCCTCATCAAATTACTATATAATAGTTTCAAACTGATCTACCAACAAGCTCTCTTGCTTTCCTCCTTTCCATCATTATACTGCAGCCAGAAAGCCAGAGTGATTTATTTAAAAAATAAATCTCCACATCAATCAAATGAAGGAAAAAAAAATCACATGATCATCTCAATTGATACAGAAAAAGTATCTTAGACAAAAACCCAACACTCTTTCATGATAAAGACACTCAGTACTAGGACTTTCTCAACACGATAAGGGCCATAGATGAAAAAACCACAGCTAACATCACACTCAATTGTGAATATCAGGACAAGGCAAGAATGTGCACTTTCACTTCTAATCAACATTGCACTGTAAATTCTAGCCAAAGCAATTAGGCAAGAAAAAGAAATAACAGACATCCAAATTAGAAAGGAAGAAGTAAAACTATCTATTAGCAGAAGACATGATCATACATGTAGAAAACTCTAAATAATCCACAAAAAAATTGTTAGAGCTAATAAATAAATTAAGCAAAGTTGCAAGATACAAAATCAACACACAAATAAAAGTTGCATTTCTATACTCTAGCAATGAACAATCTGAAAAGAAAATTAAGAAAACAATTCCACCTATGATAGCATCAAAAAAGAATAAAATACCTAGGAAATAAATTTAACCAAGAACGTGCATGGCACACTAAACTACAAAACATTGTTGGAAGAAATGAATGAAGATCTAAATAAATGGAAAGATAGCCTGTGTTCATGGACTAGAAGACTTAATATTGTTAAAATGACAATACTACTCAAAGTGATATACAGATTTCAGTGCAATCCCTATCAAAATCCCAACAGACTTTTTTGCCATAATGAAAAATTCCATCTTAAAATTGTATGGAATTTCAAGGGACTTGAATATCCAAAGTATCTTAAAAAGAAAAAAAAAAAAAAAGAGCAAAGTTGGAGGACATGCACTTCCCAATCTCAAAACTTACACACAGTAATCAAAACAGTATGGTAGTGGCAGAAAGATAAATATATAAAGCAATGGAATAGAATAGAGAGCCCAGAAATAAACTCCCACATTCATGATCAACTGATTTACAATAAGGGTGCCAACACCATTCAATGGAGAAAGAAGAGTCTTCAACAAATGGTGCTAGGAAAACTGGATATTCACATACAAAAGAATGAAGTTGGATCCCTACTCATTTCTCTTCAGTCTACTCAAAACCAGGTGCCATTGAGTTGACTGTGACTCCTGGTGACCCCATGTGTATCAGAGTAGAAGTGTGCTTCATAGGGTTTTCAATGATTTTTTGGAAGTAGAGTGCCAGGCCTTTCTTCTGAGGAGCCGCTGGGTGGACTGGAACAGCCAATCTTTTGGTTAGCAGCCAAGCTCATTAATCCTTTGCACCATCCAGTCTACTCAGCCTGAAACCCAAGCTTCCCATCCCTTCCCATAAATTTATTCAGTCATTACATTTTATTGAGCAACTTCTACGTGCCAAGAACTGTGCTAGGCTTTACACGCACAAAGCTGAGAAGGCAGGGTTCCTACACACTCAAGATGAACAACAGGATTATATCCCCCTATTAAACACGGTCTCTGCACCAAGTAGTCTCATTACTTATAACAACTGTACTTAAATGATTATGAAACTACTTGTTTCTTGCCTGTGTCCCCTTGTAGACTGTAAGGTACAAGACAGCAGGAACTGTATCTGTCTTGTTCGGTGCACAATAAATATTTGTTGAATGAATGAATGAATTCTAAACACATTACCAAACTTAAATCCTCACAGATGCCGTATAAATTCAGAATTATGAATTGGCATTGTATAAATTCAGAATTATGAAGTGGCATTGTATCATTAAAATTAAGAGCTTGGATTCCGGAACTAGACAGCCAGGTTTTCCACTTCTGTGTGACATTAGGCAAATCACTTAACTTCTCTAGGTCCCAGTTTCTTCACTTTAAAGTGGAGATAACCTCATACAGGTTACTGTAAATTCTAAATGAGTGAATACGTGTGAAGTACTTACAACTGTATCTGACACATAGTCAGCACTCAAAAGTGCCTTTAAAATGAGGAAACATAGCCTCAAAAAGGAACAAGCCCTAAGTCATAAAGCCGTAAAATAACACGCACAAGGTGGCAGAATCAAGACTTTAACCCAAATCTATTCAACTTCAAAACCTAGCAGTCTCTTAACCATTACACAACCCAGTCTTCACTCTTCCCTTCCTCTCAACTTTCGGTTCCAACACCCTACTCTCATCTTTCTCCATGTGCTGTATTCCGATATGCTAAAACGCGCCAGGACACTCAAACTATCCTTTTATGCCTGCCGTTCCTCACAGACACCTGGCACACTTCATTCCCCTTCCCTCCGTGTCCGGATCCCATTCTACGCGGCGCTACAACTTCCCACCTTCTGACGATCCATACCCAACTGCCCTGGCATCCCTACCCCGGACCTCCGCCCGTCTTAACCAAACCTCCCTCCTTCGTCCTCCTCCTCACGACTGCCCCGGGCCCTCCCATCCTTCCCATCCAATCCCAATTCCCAGGCATACGCCCCCGCCCCGAATCCATCCCGGGCCAGCCCACCCCACGCTTGGTCCAGGCCCTCCCGCCTCAGCCTCTGGTCCCCAGTGCTCCTTCCGGACGCCGAGAAAAAGCCTCGACTGGGTTTGGCACTCACCGCCTAGGAGCCCGGGCGAGCAACCGGGCTGGTCAAGAAGGGCAAGAGACGAGTTCGTCGTTCCCTTTAGGCGCCCAGCAGCGCGGCAGCCATTTTGTTGTGTTGTGCGGGTTGCCGAGGGGCAGCGCGCGCGGCACGGGCGTGGCCAGAGACCACGCCCCGTCTCGGGCCGTTGTGAGGGGCGGAGCTGAGCTTCCCGCGACTTTTACCGCCTCGGCCTCTGGTGCGTGAAGGCGGGCGTTTGCCCTAAGCGTGAGGCTTCCGGCCGTGCGAGCTTGGCTGGCTGCGGCGAGCTCACTGCTTGCGTCTCGACACCCGCGGCTTTGGTGGTGCGGCGCTTCTAAGAGGCGAGGTTCCAGCCGCAGTTGTGAGTAAGGTAGTCTCCCTTCGCTGAGGCGAAGCTGCAGATGGGTCTCGCCAAGACTTGGACTCCATTCGACTCTTTGGGGGCTGGGCTAGAGGAGGAACCGAGGGATCGACTTAGCGCTGTCACCAGCCTCCCCCACTTGTGACGCTGGCGACTGTACTTGAACTTATGTGCCTCAGCACGCTTCTCCTTGCGTGGGCTATTTCTGAGGCGAATTCTCTTTAGACATCAGATATGGATGAACCTCAGAGTGCACGAAGGCAGCTTCGGCTCCAGCTGTCACCTGGAATGGAAGGCAAGGAATATTCCTGATTCCTGTGGCCTATGGGGGAAATATTCCTCTGGTTGGTGGCAGGGAAGCTAAAGCAAGAAACATTTGAGGAGACTTCAGTTGGAGCTCACCTAAAAGTGCTGCATTTCACAACATAGTACCATATATTCAACAGATATTTTAAGAGAATTTACCAGATTCTGTGCTGGATGCCAGGGAAATACAGTGAGTTTTTGCTTTTAAACATTATCATCAATGACACTTTCCTCCACTGCAGCTTCCCATTTCCAAGGTTATATACCCTTGGACCTTGTCATCATCAGATGCTGCACCGTCCCCAAAAATCTCAAATGCAAGCACAACGCCTCCTTTACCATAATCCTCTAATCCTAACAGTTTGCTTGCTCAAAAGACTCCAGTCCCAGCCCAATTCTTAACTTCATTGTGACCTCCAATCCCTTGTTCCTGCCATTTTCTCACAATCAGTTCCTTCCTGTTGTCATTGCCCTTCTATACCATAGAGTTCATGGTCTATTCTTGTAACAATATTTTAGAAATTCTCTGTCTGTGCTTTAGTTTTCTCATCTATGAGATGGGATGATAATACCTGCCTCCTGCAGTTTTCCTGAGAATTAAAAAAGCTAATGCATGTGAAAGAATTTAGAACAGCTCCTGGCTCATAGTAAGTTCTCAGTATGTTTTAGTTATTTCATCTGTTGGCAAAGGTTTCCTGGAGGGAGTGGTGTCTCATGCTAGACCTGAAAGAGGAGAAAGATTTAGTTAAGTGGTAGGAGAATGGGGAAGAATTTGCCCAGCAAAGGAAACAATTTGTGCAAATCCCAGGAGTAAAAAAGAACGTGGCAATGGGGCTGAGGTTAAGTAATTCAGTGTGGCAGGAGCAAACCATGAAGTAGTTCAGTATGGCTGGAGCAAAAATCAAGTGGAGAAGCTGAAGCTGAGAGAGGGCCTTATAAGCCACATTAGCACTCCTACTCATGGTGACCCTCTGTGTGTCAGAGTAGAATTGTGCTCCACAGAATTTACTTTTTTTTTAAATAATTTATTTTTTGTTGTTGTTGTAAATATACACAGCAAAACATACACCAATTAACACTTTCTACATATACAATTCAGTGACATTGATTACATTCTTCAAGTTGTACAACCATTCTCACCCTCCTTTTCTGAATTATTCTACCACCATTAACATAAACTCACTGCCCCTAAGCTTCTTATCTAAACTTTCAATTTGCTCTTGTCAATTTGATCCCATATAGAGAGTTCTTTATAAAAAAGCACAATGCTGAAGGTAAACATTCTTTACTAATTAAGCTGAACTATTACTTGATTTAAAGACTTTAGGGGATAGTTTTGATTTAAGGTTTAAAGATGATCTCAGGGCAATTATTTCTGAGGTTCATCCAGCCTCAATGGCTCCAGAAAGGCTGGATTCCATGAGAATTTGAAATTCTGTTCCACATTTTTTCCTCTTTTGATCAGGATTGTTCTGTAGAATCTTTGATCAAAACGTTCAGTAGTGGTAGCCAGGTTCCATCTAGTTCTTCTGGTCTCATGGCAAAGGAGGCAGCTGTTCATGGAGGGAATTAGCCACACATTCCATTTCTTCCTCCTATTCCTGACTCTCCTTCCTCTGTTGCTCCAGGTGAATAGAGACTAATTATTGTAGCTTGGATGACTGCTTGCATGCTTTTAAGACCCCAGGCACTACACAATGAACTAGGAGGTAGAACAGAAGCACTAAAAATGGTATGAGGCCAATTAACTGGAATGTCCCATGAAACTATGACCCTAAACCTCCAAACCAAGAAAACAAATCCAATGAGGTGTTTGGTTGTATATAAGCAGCATCAGCAGCTGCTCTTCTTTTTTTGGTTGCTGTTGTTGTAAAAATACCTATTACACAGCATTTACCAATTCAACTTTTCACAGGTGTACAGCTTAGTGACATCAATTACATTGATCAGCTATGCAACCATTACCTTGATCAGTGCCAAATTTCCCATCACCATAAACAGAAACTCAATGCTTCATAAACAATGACTCCCCTTTTCCCCCTCCCTCTTGCCCCTGGTAACCACAAATAAACTTTAGTCTTGATACATTTCCCTGTTCTTGTCATTTTATATAAGTGAGGTCATACAATATTTATACTTTTGTGATTGACTTATTTCACTCAGCTTAATGTCTTCAAGGAGCCCTGGTGGCGCAGTGGTTAAGAACTATGGCTGCTAACCAAAAAGCTGGTGGTTCAAATCCACCAGCCCACCAGGAAACCCTATGGGGCAGTTCTACTCTGCCCTGTGGGGCCGCTATAAGTCAATGTCTTCAAGGTTCATCCATGTTGTGGCATTTATTAGAACTTCATTTCCCTTTCTGGCTGAGTAGTATTCCATTGTATGTATGTACTACATTTTTTTTATCCATTCATCTGTCGATGGGCATTTAGGTTGTTTCCACCTTTTGGCTGTTATGAATAATGCTACAATGAACATTGGTGTACATATGTCTGTTCAAGTCACTGCTTTTAAGTCTCTTGGGTATATACCTGGGAGTGGAATTGCTGGGTCAAATGGTAGTTCCATTTTTAGTTTTTTGAGGAAATGCCACACTGCTTTCCGCAACAGCCGTACCAAGCTCTCATAGGGTTTTCAATGGCTGATTTTTTGGAAGTAGATCACCAGGCCTTTCTTCTGAGGTGCCTCTGGTGGACTCAAACCACAAACTTTTCAGTTAACAGCTGAGCATATTAACCATTTTCACCCCCCAGGGACTCCTTAAGCCACATTAGGCATGTATAAGACCCCTCAGCAACTGGTTCAATTTTTCCTAAATGCAGAGATGGTTTCACACAATAGGAAATTCAGGTGACTTCCAATAGGGGGCACCATTCACATTCACATTTATGCAACACAGGTGCTCTTAAAAGTTGTAGAAAACCCAAAATTCCTGAAAAACTCCACATTTAAAGTCAAAAGAAGGATGTACCCTTTTTTATCGATGTTCAGATGATATTTATTAGTTAGGGATGTGTACATTGCTTAATTTTCGTTCTATTAATAATATCTTGTTTGTTTGTTTTGACACTTGTCATTTTTTTCTTTTCGACCAGAGAATTGGGTTCATTGTATAACCTCACTGCTCTGCCCCACGAAGTCTGAGTCGGTTTTCAGGTGGGGTCCATTATCAAATCATTATGGTGTACAAAACACAAACCCGTTGCTGTCAAGTCAATTCTGACTCATAGCAACCCTATAGGACAGAGAAGAACTGCCGCATAGGATTTCCAAGAAGCAGCTGGTAGCTTCGAACTGCTAACCTTTTGTTTAGCAGCCATAGCTCTTACGCACTGCGCCGCCACCAGGATGCCTATGGTGTACAGGTGTAGTTCATTATCAGTCTCATTAGTAGCCATCAAGAATACCCATAGAATCCAGAGGATGGCGCAAAACATTTCTGTATTTTTCCTCTCAGTAGTCTCTCAGTTCATATCCAGTTAGTCTCGGATGGGAATTCTCAAATTCCTTCTTGCCTAATTTTCCTCCCTTATGCCTAACCAGTAAGTACCCTCTGCTGATGCTTAGCATGGTAAAGGCCTTAGATATAGCTCAGGCCTTAGAGACTTCAGAAGGGAAACCTTTCTCTTGCTAATTGTAATTATTAGCTGCCTCTTTTAGCATGGTAAAAGAAACTCCCACCCCAAACCAGGAGCGAGGATGGGAAAGGAGTGAGAACAACTCTTTAATTCCACACTCTTTTGTATTTAACCAATAACAAACAATTCCTGATTCTTCTGAGTTGCACTTAGAATAGAAATATTAATATCAGAATAACCTAGCTATCCTTCAAGTCTTTTTTCAAAAGAATGACAAATCTACTCTGTTTGCTTTAATTTGTCACATCTTTTGCAAACCAGTTTAGTTTAATCATTTTGCAAATTTGCTTTAGAAAAGAATCAGACTAACTTGTCTGGCAGCTTCCATTATTACCATTTCTTTCTGTGGCTTGCTAGTGTGACTTTAAAAACTAACTGAATTACAGATATATTTTAAAAGAAATGCTTATTTTTACACAGCAGTATATATTACAGAAAAATATAGAAGTGGGCACCAATTAAAAAATAAGGGGAATAATACTGTATTATAAAAATAAAAATGATTTAACTAAAAATTCACCAAAGGTAAAAGTTATACAGTTTGAAAATTATTTGTTGGAGGCAGATGTTAGAGGAATTCTTAGGTTCTTAAGTTCTTGATTATAAGTTTATAGATGTATGCTGTCTAATATGGCAGCCACTAGCCACATGTGGCTACTGAGTACTTAAAATGTGGCTAGTGCCACATGTTGAAATGATATATTGGGCTAAATAAAATATATTATTAAAAGTAAGCTCACTTTTAAAAAAAGCTATTAATGTGTCTACTAGGAAACTTAAAATTACATATATGACATATTTCTATTGGACAGCAGTGCTGTAAATTTTTTTAAAAAA